TCGCCCAGTTCCATAGTCTCCCAGTGTCCCCATGTCTCAGTGTGTCCCCATGTCACTAGGATACTAGGGGACACATAGACCTGGGGCAACTGGGAGACATGGGGGCACTGAGACACTTGGGGACACTGGGAGACATGGGGGCACTTGTGAATACAGACATGGGGACACAGACATTTGGGGACACTGGTAGAAATGGGGACACTGAGACACTAGGGATACAGAGACATGGGGACACTGAAACATTTGGGGACACTAAGACACTAGGGGCATTGAGAGACATGGTAACACAGACACTAGGAGACTAGGGGACACTGGGAGACATGGGGACACTGGGAGACATGGGGACACTGGGAGACATGGGGACTCTGAGACACTAGGGACACTTGTGGACATAGACATGGGGACACTGGGAGACATGGGGACACAGACATTTGGGGACACTGAGAGACATGGGGACACACGCTGGGAGACTTTGGGACACTGGAAGATATAGGGACACTGAGGACACTGGTTGGGAGACATGGGGACACTGGGAGACATAGGGACTCTGAGAGACATGGGGACACTGGGAGACTAGGGGAAACTGGAAGCCATGTGGACACTGAGCCACTAGGGACACTGGCTGGGGGACGTGGGGACACTGTGTCCCTAGTGTCTCCATGTCTCCCTATGTCTCACAGCGTCCCCATGTCTCCCAGTGTCCCCTAGTGTCTGTGTCCCCATGTTTTCCAGTGTTCACAAGTATCTCAGTCTCCCCAGGTCTCCCAGTGTCCCCATTTGTCCCTGCTGCCTTTACCCCCCATACCTCACTTACCTGAGCTGCTGGACTTTTACCCTGGACTCTCTGTGCTGTGTAGCTGCTCCCCCACGGATCAGTGAGTAGTAGAGCGATATGCTGTAACTTCCTATCCCTGCAACTCTCCACACACAGTGACCCCTACTGGCCGGTGCTGGTATTGCAGAGTAATCTCCATTTATACTGAGAAAAATACCTGCATTTGTATTGCCGGTATTACTGCAATACCTGCACAGCCAGGCAGCCTCAAATACCAGCTATGCCAGTAAAATACCAGTCAGGTTGCAAACCTAAGAGTAGTGTGTAAAAAAAAAAAAAAAGTACTATTTTTTTAATGGGCCTATTCCATGGGCCTGGGCCTGGTGCTGCAGCTCCATCAGCCCCTATGTTAATCCGGCCCTGACCAGGACGTAGTGATCCCAGGTATATGCACTGTTGGCCCTGTAATCCCAGGTATATGCACTGTTGGCCCTGTAACCAGGACGTGCTAATCCCAGGTATATGCACCTTTGGCCCTGTAACCAGGACCAGTGGCGTACATACCGGGGTCGCGGCTGCGACTGGGCTCGGCTCACTAGGGGGCCCGGCTGCCCTGCAACCCGGTATGTACCCACTGTGACCAGCCTCTTCTCCTGGAGGCCCAGGAGCTTGCCACCTCAGGGCCCCCTGAGGCTGGCCCTGCTGTCACCCGGCTGGCGGGCGCGCGAGGGAGCACTCTCCCTGGCTGAGTGCTTCCTCCCCAGCTCCTTGGCGCACCGCACTGATACCGGAGCCGGTAGATGACATCATATTCCGGCTCCAGTATCAGTACGCAGCGCGCGAGTGCTCCCTCGCGTACCCGCCAGCCTGCCTGCTGGGTGACACCACCAGACCCCAGGGAATCCCCTCAGCACTTCCACAGGTAAGGAGGCTTAGGGGAATTAATTTTTTTTTTTTAAACGGGAGTGTGTTAGTGTTAGAGTGTGTGTTAGTGTGTGTGTGTTAGTGAGTGAGTGTGTGTCTGTCTGTCAGTGAGTGTGTATATATGGCTGTCACTGAGTGTGTGTCTGTCAGTAAATGTGTGTCTGTTAGCTAGTGTGTATGCGTCTTTTCTTGAGAGTGTGTGTGTGGCGCTGGGGATCTCTCCGTCCCGATCCGCCTCTCAGCTACAAATGCGCATGCGTGGCAAAAGCCGCACGCGCATTCAAACCGCCCATAGGAAAGCATTAATCAATGCTTTCCTATGGACGTTCAGAGTCTTCTCACTGTGATTTTCACAGTGAGAATCGCGGAAGTGCCTCCAGCGGCTGTCAGTGAGACAGCCACTAGAGGCTGGATTAACCCTTAGTGAAACATAGCAGTTTCTCTGAAACTGCTAAGTTTTAGGCTGCAGGGTTAAACCTAGAGGGACCTGGCACCTAGACCACTTCATTGAGCTGATATGATCTGGGTGTCTGTAGTGGTCCTTTAAGTGTATGTGTATCTGCATGCACTGGGGTACATACCGCACATGTGTTGCGGCCCCAGCCCGAGCAGAGTAAGTGCGCGCCCGGGGGGGCCGATGGATCAGTTTTCGCACCGGGGCCCCATGGGTTGTGTGTACGCCACTGACCAGGACGTACTAATCCCAGGTATATGCACTGTTGGCCCCGTAACTGCAATATTCTCACATTATTTCTTATTCTTTCTTGTAGTTCTTTGGCTGTTTGGTGATGATCTCATATGGTGCGAGTGCCTTCTTCAGCTTTATGGAGTGGAGAGGATCTCCAAGTAACGCAGCCTCCGCACAGGCCTGATCCTGTTCAGGAAAACTCACTGGATTTTATTCATCGTTACCACTTTTTACCTGTTTTTAAAAACTTCCACAAACTGAATATTAATTGGTTCTGATTTTGATTCTGAATTGGATACCTGTGCGGGATTACAAGACACTATTAAATATATTTACATGTATAAATGTAAATACACCTCTATTTATAATGACACAAGCAGAATGTGGATAGCACCTAAAGATCAGGAATACTCCGGCATGAAGAAGGAAGCTTAACGTGGGCCCTGGAAGACGCAGAGATTATCTGTACATGGAAGGACTGATGTATATTTCTCAAGGGGTCTCTATGCTTCAGGTGTTACGAGTGCATTGCCAAATGCAGAAATGGGAATTGAGAAAATCGAGTCGGTTTAATAAATTTTTCAATAATATAATGCTTCTCGTTCATTCGTAACATTCTTTATGTTCTGATTAAGCCATTTTAGTAAAAAGTACAAATTATTAACCACCAGGTCATTGTGTAACACAGCCCGTGCATTATTGTAACAATCACATAACGCAGCATTGCACGTGCACTATTGTAACACTCTCAGAACGCGGTATTGCGCATGCACTATTGTAACAATCTCATAACGCAGCATTGCACATGCACTATTGTAACAATCTCATAACGTGGTATTGCGCGTGCACTATTGTAACAATCTAATAACGCAGCATCACGCGTGCACTATTGTAACAATCACAGAATGCGGCATCGCGCGTGCACTATTGTAACAATCTCATAACACAGCATCGCGCGTGCACTATTGTAACAATCTCATAACGCAGCATCGCGCGTGCACTATTATAACAATCACAGAACGCGGCATTGCGCGTGCACTATTGTAACAATCACATAACGCGGTATTGCGCGTGCACTATTGTAACAATCTCATAACACAGCATCGCGCGTGCACTATTGTAAACAAAAACAAACAAAATCCAAGCTTGTCTGAGCTCTTACTAACTCAGGGATATATATATAAATCCTTTTCTGTCAAGCGTTAAACTAAACCAAACACACAGGTTTCACCAACCTTACAGGATATCAGCCTGCTGCTCTCAGCTCTCACAGGAGGAACCATAGTCTCCCTTACCTGTCTGCCATTGAGGGATTTATTTCCCTTACTGCAGCTGCTTACTTTCAGTTGCAGTCAGTATGAACTCCTGGCCTGGACCTTATTTCTCCCAGTTACCTGTAAACCGAGGAATGGAGCTCCGGCCGCCCTACTCTCCGAATGTTCTACCCCTGGGGCCCACACCTAAACATTAATTTATGCTGCATACAGCATGTCATATTATTACAGAGCACGGTTTGTTCACTAACACCATTATATTATTACAGAGCACAGTGTGTACACTATTATCTTATTACAGAGCACGGTGTGTACACCATTATCTTATTACAGAGCACGGTATGTTCACTAATACCATTATCTTATTACAGAGCACGGTGTGTACACTAACTATTATCTTATTACAGAGCACGGTATGTACACTAACTATTATCTTATTACAGAGCACGGTGTGTTCACTAACTATTATCTTATTACAGAGCACGGTGTGTACACTAACTATTATCTTATTACAGAGCACAGTGTGTTCACTAACACCATTATCTTATTACAGAGCACGGTATGTACACTAACTATTATCTTATTACAGAGCACGGTGTGTACACTAACTATTATCTTATTACAGAGCACGGTGTGTTCACTAACACCATTATCTTATTACAGAGCACGGTGTGTTCACTTACACCATTATCTGATTACAGAGCACGGTGTGTTCACTAACACCATTATCTTATTACAGAGCACGGTGTGTACACTATTATCTTATTACAGAGCACGGTGTTTACACTTACTATTATCTTATTACAGAGCACGGTGTGTTCACTAACACCATTATCTTATTACAGAGCACGGTGTGTTCACTAACACCATTATCTTATTACAGAGCACGGTGTATACACTATTATCTTATTACAGAGCACGGTGTGTACACTAACTATTATCTTATTACAGAGCACGGTGAGTTCACTAACACCATTATCTTATTACAGAGCACGTTGTGCACACTAACTATTATCTTATTACAGAGCACGGTGTGTTCACTTACACCATTATCTTATTACAGAGCATGGTGTGTACACTATTATCTTATTACAGAGCACGGTGTGTACACTAACTATTATCTTATTACAGAGCACGGTGAGTTCACTAACACCATTATCTTATTACAGAGCACGGTGTCTTCACTTACACCATTATCTTATTACAGAGCACGGTGTGTACACTATTATCTTATTACAGAGCACGGTGTGTACACTAACTATTATCTTATTACAGAGCACGGTGTGTTCACTAACACCATTATCTTATTACAGAGCACGGTGTGTACACCAACACCATTATCTTAGTGTACACACTGTGCTCTGTAATAAGATAATGGTGTTAGTGTACACACTGTGCTCTGTAATAACACCATTATCTTATTACAGAGCACGGTGTGTACACCAACACCATTATCTTAGTGTACACACTGTGCTCTGTAATAAGATAATGGTGTTAGTGTACACACTGTGCTCTGTAATAACACCATTATCTTATTACAAAGCACAGTGTGTTCACTAATACAATTATTATTTTATTACAGAGCACAGTGTGTATACTAAAACTAATTACTTATTACAGAGCACAGACACTGTGTGTCTACTAAAACTAATATCTTAGAAACATAGAATGTGACGGCAGATAAGAACCATTCGGCCCATCTAGTCTGCCCAATTTTCTAAATACTTTCATTAGTCCCTGGCCTTATCTTATAGTTAGGATAGCCTTATGCCTATCCCACTCATGCTTAAACTCCTTTACTGTGTTAACCTTTACCACTTCAGCTGGAAGGCTATTCCATGCATCCACTACCCTCTTAGTAAAGTAATACTTCCTGATAATATTTTTAAACCTTTGCCCCTCTAATTTAAGACTATGTCCTCCTGTTGTGGTAGTTTTTCTTCTTTTAAATATAGTCTCCTCCTTTACTGTGTTGATTCCCTTTATATATTTAAATGTTTCTATCATATCCCCCCTGTCTCGTCTTTCCTCCAAGCTATACATGTTAAGATCCTTTAACCTTTCCTGGTAAGTTTTATCCCGCAATCCATGAACCAGTTTAGTAGCCCTTCTCTGAACCCTCTCTAAGGTATCAATATCCTTCTGAAGATACGGTCTCCAGTACTGTGTACAATACTCCAAGTGAGGTCTCACCAGTGTTCTATATAATGGCATGAGCACTTCCCTCTTTCTACTGCTAATACCTCTCCCTATACAACCAAGCATTCTGCTAGCATTTCCTGCTGCTCTATTACATTGTCTGCCTACCTTTAAGTCATCAGAAATAATCACCCCTAAATCCCTTTCCTCATATGTTGAGGTTAGGACTCTATCAAATATTCTGTACTCTGCCCTTGGGTTTTTACGTCCAAGATGCATTATCTTGCACTTATCCACATTAAATGTCAGTTGCCACAATTCTGACCATTTTTCTAGTTTACCTAAATCATTTGCCATTTGGCTTATCCCTCCTGGAACATCAACCCTGTTACATATCTTAGTATCATCAGCAAAAAGACATGCCTTACCATCAAGACCTTCTGCAATATCACTAATAAAAATATTAAAGAGAATGGGTCCAAGTACAGATCCCTGAGGTACCCCACTGGTGACAAGTCCAAGCTTTGAATATATTCCATTAACTACAACCCTCTGTTGCCTGTCACTCAGCCACTGCCTTACCCATTCAACAATATTGGAATCCAAACTTAAAGATTGCAGTTTATTGATAAGCCTTCTATGTGCAACAGTGTCAAAAGCCTTACTGAAATCTAGGTAAGCAATGTCAACTGCACCACCCTGATCTATAATTTCAGTTACCCAATCAAAAAAATTAGATTAGATTATTATAACTAATAAGATTAGTTTGGCATAATCTCCCTGAAGTAAACCCATGTTGTCTCTGATTTTGAAATCCATGTGTTTTTAGATGTTCAACAATCCTATCCTTTAACATGGTTTCCATCACTTTCCCCACTACAGAAGTAAGGCTTACTGGCCTATAGTTACCCGACTCCTCCCTATTACCTTTCTTGTAAATGGGCACAACATTCGCTAACTTCCCATCTTCTGGGACTACTCCTGTTAACAATGATTGGTTAAATAAATCTGTTAATGGTTTTGCTAGTACACCACTAAGCCCCTTTAATAGCTTTGGGTGTATTCCATCAGGTCCCATTGACTTATTTGTCTTTACTTTTGACAGTTGAAATAGAACCTCTTCCTCTGTAAACTCACGTGTAATAAATGACTAATTTATCCTTTTTCTCAACGGAGGTCCCTTTCCTTCATTTTCATCTGTAAATACAGAACAAAAATATTAATTGAGGCAGTCAGCTAGACCTTTATCCTCTTCTACATACCTTCCTTCTTTTGTTTTTAATCTAACTAATCCTTGTTTTACTTTTCTTTTCTCATTTTATAATTACTAAATGCTAACTTTTTGTTTTTAACTATTTTGGCCACATCTGCGGAGTACCACAGTGGTTTCTTGAATTTTTTGCTTTTACTGACAAGCCTAATGCAAATTTCTGTTGCCTTCAATAGTGCAACTTTTAAATAATCCCATTTCTCTTGGACTCCATTTAAATTGCTCCAGTCTGATAATGACTCCTTTACACATATTCTAATTTTAGAAAGTCTGTTTTTCTAAAGTCTAAATCTTTTGTTTTTGTGTGGTGTGACTGTTCTTATATTAAACAGAGCACGGTGCATACCCTAACACTGTGGCAAAGATGCCTCTGCCACAAGTTCCCTAGGGAGCCTGCTGGCTAGCCTCCTGCCCAAAGACTATGGGCTATGTAAAAGACATGTTAAAACATGTTTGTTCGTGGGATTTTCCTATATGGTTCGGGAACCGAAAGAAACCACGAGCTAAGGACCACCCAAATGCTTGTTAACCCCTTTTGACACATTACTAATGATTCACACCTCAGTGTTCTAAGTGTTTGGCTGGGTGGATACCGTTCGTATGCACGAACCCATGGTGGCGGCCATCTTGTTTGCACGAATGCAGGCAGCGGTGTTTGGTCGTCGAGAGCATGGAACTAAAATCAGACACTCAACCTCACGAACAACACCGAACTTCCATCCTCACGTGCAATCGTTTCTTTACATTCTGAAAGGGCACTGTTCGGTGGAATCATTTGCATGGATTAGGTGAACAAGCTCCCTATTACAATTATGGACTACGTTCGGTAGTTTGTTTTTGTACTCCCGAAAGAGAACGACTGCTACCACGGATTCTATGGAACTATTTTGCACAAGCGCGTCGTGTGCGGCCTTCAGAACTTTACCCCGGTGGCGATTTGGCTGTGCTTGTGGGATTTGAGCGCCTTTTGGATATGTTGTGCACTCAGATCCAGGCTATCTGGGGATATAAGACTTGAGGGGGCACATGTCTGTTTGAGGGTGTTATAAATATTGTAGATTTTTCTGTACCTGAGAGATAATTGAATTATAGGTTTTTCCTCACGCAATTATCTCTTAGGCACAGAGGATCCTGGGAGATGTAATAATTTTCTGCTTCTTCTGTGTCTTTATCCAGTTGATTGAAATAATTATATATATATATATATTCATTCATTCTTAGGTAAAAGGCTTGCCATGTTAATATACGTCTAAATGAAACAAAAATACTAATACGCAATCTGACTTACGCTTTCTTCAGGTTTATTCTTAGAGTTACGGATACATAATAGAACAACAAAGGATGTTACATGATCATGGATGTTCAACAGCAGATAGTAATTGCTGGACTCCTGAAGGGAGAGTTACATCATTACATAGCTGTACAGGAAAAAGAGCCAAGAGAGAGACCTTGTGTCCTTTTGTTCAGTTACGATATAGATGTGCCCATACTGACATCAGACTAGAACTCAAGCCATATAAGGACAAGACCCCCACCCACATTCCATACTTCTCATACAAAGAAAGCCTTGTGACTTATTGATACCATCTGTTACTTATGTCAAGCCAGACTGTAGCGGAGAGGCAGTATAATCCACTATATCTCCACGGGTAGACAGGTACAGCATACAGAAATCCAGGTAGCGTGATAATAATCCCATTCACCCAAGAACTAGATGACACATAGTCTGGGAGTCAACTGAGCTTTTATTCACAAGTTACAGTATTTATGCAGTTCCCCATGCAAGGGGTTTCCAAAGTGACCTTGCAAGGGTTGTCCAGTAGTGGACTACATGGGGGACTTAGCTTACAGGCTGATTTCCCATCATGCACTGCTGTACTAGAGAGATAATCGCCCCAGAATGCACTGTTAATTGAATTATCTCTCTGTACAGCAGAATATGACTTTTTACTGAAAAATACATAACTTCCACACCATTCGTTATATTTAACCGAATGACACCTAGCTGGAATCTGAGCGCACCATCTGGTGAAATACCGCTCAGATACCTGCACAATTAACCGAACGCCATACGAAATACAGTTTAATATGAACACACATGGAAATGCACGAATGGGCTGGTTATATGAAAATACCAAAATAATGATTGTCCCGAACGGTATGGAAGTCCAGAGGTGTTTGTGCCGTCGAGTAGCTGATTTTAGTTCCAGGCACTCAACGACCAAACATCGCTGGGCTGGAGTGATCAAAGATGGCCGCCGCCACGTGTTCGGTACACGAACTGCGACCAACTGGAAACCTATTAACAAGTGGTGGATACATTGTTGCCAGAATTAATGGGAGACACACAACCCTATTTGTGTGGTCTCCCATTCGGTACTTTGTTCGTTTCACAAACAGTGTTGAAATACACTGTTCGTGAAACTGCCATATGAATGTTGGCGGTTTTCGTGCCGCCAGCATACGAATGCTTTCTAGTACATAGAAACCAGGATATAACATACGGTTACACACACCTCGCTTGGAGACAACCCTTACACATAAAATAACCTGTAGGCAACCCTTATATATAACATAGTCTTAAGTTGCCAGGTTTGCCACAATGCTCCCCCAGAACCAAGCCGGCCAGTCTGATCCCAACGGATCGGCTTGGGGATGTCCGGGGGAGTACTCACAGATAATTTCTCAAGTTCAGTCTGTCTGGATAACCCATTGGCGTTGCCACTTAGCTTCCCAGGGCGATAGTGTATTGTAAAGTGAAAAGGCTGCAGCGCCAAGCTCCAGTGCAGCAACCTGGCATTGTCTACTGACACTCTTTTTAGCCACACCAACGGGTTGTGATCTGTGAATAAAGAGAAGGGTTGCCCATACAAATAGGGTTGCAGTTTTTTGAGGGCCACACCACGGCCAGGCATTCCTTTTCGATGGCGGCGTAACTTACTTCTCTGGGTAAAAGTTTTCTGCTTAAGTAAGCTACTGGGTGCTTGCCACCATCCGCTCCGACTTGGCTCAGCACTGCTCCCAATCCAAACACAG